TGGGTGGAAAACCCCTTAGAGTTGAGGGAGAATCCAACTTTGATCAACATGATACAGTTTTGAACATGTACATGAAGCTGGGCCTTGATTTGCCTTCTTAAAGTTCTGAGTAACTTTATTTCCTATCTTTAATAAATTAAATAATAATGTAAAAACTGAATTATGTATTCACTCTGTTTATCTTTGCCGGATTAGTTAGATAAACTGAAACAGAGATGAAGCACTTTTTCTTTGCACTCTAGATAAATAATTGAACCATGTTTTAGTAAAATAAGCAGATTCCATATTTCCACTACTTTGCGTTACACTGAGTATGCAAAAGCTTGAGTAGGTAAAAGTCAGGAGCACACTTAGTGATCAAACTTCATCTGTAGTCTAAAAATTTAGATGAGCCAGTCTTTTTTTTTTTTCTTTAATTTTGTTGAGACTCCTAATGAATGTGCAGGATTTGTTCCCGCCTGCTGCAGTGAATTATCTGCGGCTGACATGACGCCCGAGGCTGTTCTCTCGCTCTCTGCCAGGTGTCGGAGTTAGAGCAGCCGGTGGATGAAGGAGACGGAGTGGCACTGATGGATTCAGACTTCCCCGAGGACCCGCTGTCAGAAAAATCCGCCGGCGTCGTTCAGGTAGTGGCACACTGACAGCGTAGATTCTCTAATAAATACACGGGAACCTCATTAACGTTGTGCTGACGGGCCAGAGAGTGTGGAGGAGTATCTGCAAGTAAACTTTTAGTCAAGTTTTCTGCTCGTGCTCGACAGACGATGGGACAGGATTTAAAAGGATGAGCTCAATCTGTTTTCCAGCCCGCCTTCAACATGGCCGAGTACCACCAGCTGTTTGTGGGGACGGAGCGGCTGCGCTGTCCGGAGATCCTGTTCCAGCCTTCTCTGATCGGAGAAGACCAGATGGGACTGATGGAGACGCTGCAGTATGTCCTAGCAAGGTAAAAACACAATACTACAGATCCACTGCAGTAATAAAGCTCCACACTGATTTGCATTGTAATCGGATGGCCAATAAGAACCTTTTCTTTTAAAACAATACACAACAAGGTTTTATTTCATGGAAATTCATACAGTTTTATTGGAACTTCACATATAAATGTGTTTTACCAAACAGATACACCCCTGAGCAGCAGGAGGCGCTGGTGAGCAATGTGTTTCTGACGGGAGGGAACATGCAGCACCCGGGCATGAAGGAGCGGGTGGAGAGGGAGCTGTTGGCACTGAGGCCATTCCAGTCTCATTTCAAGGTTTCAAAATGTCTTTTTAAAATAATGCAAAACATGTTGTGACACATAATGCAGATTTTGACAAGCAAAATTATTTTGAATTGAAATCGAGTGACAAAAAAAAAAAAAAATCTACATATAAAAATATAATTTTACCTCCCTACACAGGTAACCATGGCAACCCGGCCAGGCTTGGACGCGTGGTACGGAGCGCGGGATTGGGCGTTGGAGCATCCGGCCACAGCCGGAGCAGAAGGATGGATTAGCCGGCAGGATTACGAGGAGAAAGGAGGCGAATATCTGAGCGAACACTGCGCTTCTAACGTCTTCGTTCCCATGAAGCTCGCCAAACCGGTTCCTGTTCGTCCCGCCGAGCCCCCTGCGGCTCTTCAGACCCTGACCACCATTACAGCCGCCCCAACTCCATTCTTATCCACAGATTCTGCTGACGTCAACATGGCTGCCTCCTGAAACGAGGAATATTCATTGAGCTCAGTTTGAACTGACGTGATGCATTTATTTTTTTCTTTTGGTTTGATTTGGTATTCCCAACCTTTGAGTCGTTTGCAGTTGGATTATTGCATTATATGACAAATGTTACTCAATATGTTTTGCAGCTGTAATTTCAACCAAACGTTGCTACATCTTTTTCCAGTGATATAATTTTAGAGCTCTCCTCAAAGACGTCTCTTATTCAGACTATCCTTTGTGAGTCTTTTGTAAATTTGTAATTAACGTCTGTAGAAATGCTGATCGAAACCTTTCATATTGAGTGGTGATCACCTTTTAAGGTCTAGTGGAAACGCATATTTCAATATTTTGTTAAAAAAGAAACAAAAAAAAACATGAGTTTTCTTTGTTTCTTTGAATACAGTTTTGTTATTTTAAATAAAGTTGAGTCTGTTTCATCACTACATTTTTTTCTCTAATCTAACCTCTTTTCCTCAGGTTTTCCTTTTGTCCATTCATCATGTCTGTATTGTGTTTAGTGTAAACAAATCCTTTCGTCAGGAACCTAATTACTTTATGTTGCAGTATATTCTTGTTTCCACTAGATGGCGAAAAGAAACAAAATGTTATGTCTTTCCTTTTTTATAAATGTAAACTGTTGTATAACACTGACTTTTGTGTTTGCAACATAGAGATGACTAAATGTCACTTTTCTGCTTTTCCCAGTAGTGTGAAACTTACTAAATTGTCTGATTTTATGGTCATGATGTGCACAAACTACAGATTTTAGTCCGGTCTTCCTGGCCAGTGTGTGAGCCATCCGGTAAATGCGTGGTGACCTCGCACTGCAGCAGGCCTGAGTAGTTCAATACTACTATGTGGGAAACTGTCAGGGATCAAGGGTCAAACCAGCGCTCAGCCTGCTCTGTTTCTCCTCATACATTCAGAAAGGCCCCGTTCCCACAGCAGCGGCTGACTGAGGCTATTAGGAGCCACGGCGTCCTTAAACCTCCACAGGATTGGCTGAAGATTATCATAAGGGTTGAAATGAGAGAGAAAAAGTAGAAAAATGTTGAAATCAAACTCTATAATTGTATTTCTTAAAAAAAAAAAAGCCACCCTCATGATGTGTAACAGGCTTCTACATTTTTATTTCTCCCTACTAAAGCATGACAACGTGCAAGATGTCTTGTCAAACAGCATATTTCCTGCCAGGACCAATCAGCACCATCATTATGTGTTTCTGGACCATGTTTACCTCATGGCGCAGGGGGGAATACCTCACTGACTGGGGGCTTGTGTTTCCAAACCGGCCTGCTGCCACCGCGTTGGCCGGTGTCCAATTAGGAGGATTTGTTTGTGAGCTGCAGTGTTGTAGGCCAGCCGGAGCAGCAGACAGGATGAACCGATGTCCCGCAGATCCGTGGCGGAAGAGGGGGAAAATGAAAGTCCAAACACTGAATCTGTGACAGAGACCACTAAGCTTTTTCTTAAAATAGCCCCCCAAAAAATCTAATTTAGTTTGTTATGGGAAACCTCGTCATTGTCGCTGAGCAGTGATTCTATTCACATGTTTACCTGCACAGGCTGTGTGCATACATTTGACTCTTCAACTGATTGTCCTATCGGCGGGAAGGAACAGTGTTGCAAATACCGGAATATGCAGTCGTGGCTTACGGTTCTCTACATTTTCCTCCATTGTAGTCACAATATACATTCTTGTGATGGGCCGAAACCAGAGGTGGTTAGTTACAGTCACCCAAGTAACCTTTTGAAATAAATGTGCAATTAGGAGTAGTTTTACACTTTGCAGTATTGCCTCTTTTACTTGAGTAAAATGTCTGGATTACACACCTGCAATTTGTTCATGTGAAACTTCTTGTTTCTACACAAGCTTTGTTTTTCTAATGTCATTTTACACATATTTGCACTTAAAAACATTAAATCACATGTTACTCAGTAAAAGTTACAAAGATTTTTAAAAGCATTTAGGCTGAAGTTAGAAACCACAAGAACTCCTGTGTAAAGTTCTCCACAAGCCATGTGGGGACAAACTTGCACTAAGTATCAACCTGAACATGTACAGTAACCTACAAGAACACGATTCTCTGTATGTGTGAATAAACTAAACTGGAAAAAAGTTATGATATTTGGCAAAACAATTGCGAGGTTTTTCTTTCTGCATAACAAAACTTTGCTGATATCCCATTATGTTCCTCATGTGATCAACACTGCTGCTTCATTTTCCAGATCAGTCCTCTGTGGACGCTGTGGGACGTCACAGGCTGGGATGAAACATTTCTGAGGGGCACTTATGAGACAAATTGGGTTGCATTTGTCTTCACATCCAATTAAACTGATGCACAATGAATCACAGACACTGGTCCATTAAGCAGACTGAGAGGACGTTTCTCTGTCTCTGAGCTTTCGGTCCGATGGGCTCGTTTGGCTTCTCCTTTGATTTTAAACACTGATAGTGCATGCAATAAATTCAAACAAAGTATGATTTCCTTCTACATACGTATTTTTTAAATTATTTTAATAGATGCTCTGCATCTTTTCTTGACAAGCTAAGCTATAGTTGAAACACCTGGTGGGAAAATTAAAATTTCAAATGCACGAGAGCTGCAAACCCCCTCTTCTTCCTAGAAATAATGGTTACTAAGCTGTGTTGCTGTTACCAAACACTCAGAGTTTGAGGAGGTCTGCGCTGACTGGCTGTCTGAGAAACCTGAAAAGGCGCAGAGACGGCGACCGAGTGTCCGAGATGACAGCTGCAAACATGGAGCATCCAGACTCAATTAGCATGAGGGCGTCTGGGGAGGATGCAACAATATCTGACCAGCTTGTTTTTTTTAAAATGTTTTATCGAAAAATTCTCATTTAAAAAAAAAAAAATATATATTTATATATATATTTATATATATATATATTATATATATATATATATATATATATATATATATATAATATATATATATATATAAATGTGTTGCTCAATTCCTATGAGAATCTCTTGTTTATGTATCTGATAAGATTTCAGACATACATTAATTCCCCCCTGGCCTTTGAAAGGAAACTCAGTCCTGTTTCATTTCCTCTACTCGTCTCCCACAAGACCACAAAGAGATGGATAAAGTCTCTCTGAGTTTCCCTGCTGGACGTCTGCCTTTCACTGGGGTGACAAATCATCATGCTCCAGGGTTCATCTTCAGACACGTGCAGCGTTTAGAAGGGTTGACTCACCCAACAGTGGCTGTAATTAGATGAAGAAGGCCTCTTTCTCATACCCCTGTTTCCTCCTCCTCTTCCTCCTCCCCCTTCTCTCGCTCCGCACGTAGAAAGCAACAGGTCTTAATCCCGCCTGTGCACGGCCACGAGAAGCTGGTGGTTGGCCCGAACTGTCGACTCTGAAAAACTTTTATTTCATCCTCTGTGCATATAGAGACCTGTGAACTGGAGCACTGATGTTCCGGGTGTTGGCTGAGCACGCAAAGAGGCACCCTGGGGTGAGTGAGCCTCATTTCCTCCTGGTTTGACTTTGATGTTCTTATGATGTGTGGCATTTGGTTTTTTTTTTAAAAGCTATTTTTCTCTTTTGAAATTTCATTGGATGACCCTTGTTTTGAAAAATGCAAAAGGAAATTCAGCCTCATGACGTTCATCACATGAGTTTAATGAATATGACTAGCATTTTTGCCTTTTGTTATGATAATCTTGATTACAAAAGTAAATGTGATTGTGGTATAATTTCTATTTGTTTTTGTTTTAGATACACATTCATTCTTTTTTTGATTTTTATATTACATTACCATGTCCAAAGCTCATGTAGGTCAACTTTTAGATCATTTCTATTGGGCTTTTCTGTCTGTTGATTTTCAGAAAAAAAAATACTGTAAAATTTGATTTACCTTAATATATTTGCAGTCAAATGTCACTCCCTACTGTCCTCATTCCTGTACTTAGCCAGCTTATGTAATCACTTGCAACGTTCGTTAATACGTTAAAGCAGGAGAGATAAAGAGAAAACTAATTCTGTCTCTTCTAATCTGGACGTCTCATTCAGTCAGTTACGTCGCTCCTGCAGCCGGTTTTAAAATCAAGGCAAAATTAGAGAGGATTAAGGCTCCAGTCATACATAACACATGAAAAAAAAATGCAATCTCCTTAATTATCTGACAAAATCAGATCAGTTACTGATGTAAAACCTTCCTTCAAAAACATACGTTTCTTCCCCCACAGGGGAGGAGATTATTTCAGTCTTTTTTTTCCATTTCCACAAGGGCTGACAGAGTGTTAACTTTTTGTCTCTGGTCTCCCTGGAGAGAGAAAGAGAGAGAGAGAGAGAGAGAGAGAGAGAAACAGAGAGAGATGCAGGGATGAAAACTTGAGCTACCAGAGCTCCTCAGCACCGTCCATCATCCTGGAAAACCGACGAGCATCGAGATGGAAACCGCAGAGAGTAAAATCCCTTTGAGACTCTGTAAACCTGCCTCATCAACTTCACACAGACCGACAGAAAGAGACAAAGAGACAGGCGGTTAGAGTCCACAAGTTTCAGTAAGGGAGACAAAAAACAGTTTGACAAATTAAGACATCGGTGAGACAGACACACAGATGGAAAGAGTGAAAGATAAATGTGATTTTGAGAGTGATGCATTTTAAGAAATCTCTGTGTCATGAAGCTTTCGCCTATTTATAAGTAAAGAAGAATGAAGACAATTTGAGTTAATAACATAAAACACATAATATTCATCATTGGGTCGGTCACCCAGTTGATGATTTTTAAAAGAATGTAAAAATCTTTATATTTCCGCCATTGCACATTGAAAACCCATTGAAGTTTGACCTTTCATAACCGAAGACCCTTCGCTCTCCTGCCCAGGTCAGCCAACCTGCTGGAGTTCATTATTTTATTAAACTAAACTCCTGGTTTAACTTCCTCAAAATAACTTTCCATCTGCATTGAACTGTCTTACATTGTGGGGTCGTCAGTGGCTCTAATCCTCCTTCAGGATTCCTTTGGCTCACTTTCAGATCATGTCAGATTGACGTGAGTCAAGCTTTAACTTACGGTCAGACTTCCTGCAGGCTCTTGCTGATGAGGTTTTCCATCCAATTTGTGGACATTTCTTTCTGTTTCTGTACATATTGACTGGAAGATGATTCCATTTCACCTGAAAGGGACCAAGTGAAGCAGCTGTTGCCAAACCTTTTCAGACCCCGAAACTACAGCAGACCTTGGAATCCAAGCTAATGTAACTAGACAAAACTATAAGACAATTAAAATTTAAATACATGTTGTTGTTTTTTTTTTTATCTATTCCTAAATTGACAAATTTAAAAAAAAAATTTGCATTACATATGCAATAAAGTTATTGCATATATAATGCAACATTTTTTATATGAAAAAGTAAAGCAAATGGAAAAAAGAAATTGATCCTTTTATCCTAAGATTAATAATAAAAAAAATAGCTGTGGGAGCCAATGGGCTAGTGTTCCCATTGCATTCTGGGTAGAAAACAGAGATGGCTTTTGGTGTGATTTGAAGAAGTCCTCCTGTCCAATTCAGCAGTCAGCCGTAACAAGAACAACTGCAAATAAAAGCACAAAAACAATAAAAGTTTTAAAATACTTTCGGTCTTCTGGAAACATAATTGTCCACATTAAAATGCAGCACAGGCGGAAATTGTAAGACAAAGAATTTCTTGTTCTTTGGGTTTGTTGCTTTCATCATTCAGAGTCTTGCGTAACCTTGTATCTCTGCGTCAGCTGGTTCACTGGGCTGACAGGAGGCGATGGAGCAGTGGGGTGGGGGATTCAGCAGAGGATTGGTCCGCTGCCCAGATCACCTGTCTGACAGCTCCTGTTGTCCTCACCTGGAAATTAATTGGACTGGCAGGTTAAGGTTTTAGATGAGTTGAACTGAAACACTGTAGTTTTTCAGTCTCTTAAAAACATATCTGTGTGGCTTAAATTGACAAATGTGATTTTGCTTTTGCTGCTTTTCATTATATCTGAATTTATTGAACACGCTGTTTTTAAATTACATGTTTTTTTTTAAAATCTAAACAAAACTGTTTGAATGAACTCTTTTTGACTCAGTTTTACACATAGCCCCCACCCCCACATTTTACCACAATACAACCACAAATCTGAATGTGTGCCAGAGTTTCAGAAAAAAAATAATTAATTCACAGCTATGTCAGAAACCTAGAACGCTTAGGCTTCTTTGTAAGTACATGTTTAGTTGTTCCAAATTGCAATGAAATAATAATAATAATAATAATAATAATAATAATAATAATAATAATAATAATAAATTTTATTTGTAACGCACCTTATATTTCAAAGAAATCTCAAAGTGCTACAGAGACTAAAAGAGAGGACTACATGTGGTGTAATACATACACCACATGTAGCTCGTAGTATACATTTATGGTTTCACATCCATAAATATGTGCACACTCAGGTCTCAGTGGTGACTTCCAGTGTCTACCTGTATGAGCCTTTTTTCAGGTTATGCTTGAAAAAATAACTTTTTTTTAACTTCTTGTTTTAGTTTTTAATAGCAACGAAATAATAATTGTTGGTTTTATCTGCTTGTCTTCAGCTAATCCCCCAGTTCTTCTTTATCTGCCTGGGAATGGGTGGTGCAACCTTATATCTTATCCGGCTGGCCAGAGGACCTCATGTCACGTGAGACTTTTTGAACTTTTGCAGCAGTGTTGGATAAAAAAGACAAAAAAAAAAAAAACTCACTCACAGTTTGAAGTGACCAACACAAGTTTTGTCTAGTTGTGAAGTAGAAGGAAAATAATATGAAGTTCTCAAAGTTTTTCACTTTGTCAGAATGATAAGAAATGTAAGTTTCTGTTTAACGTTCTGATTTGGATTTATCTTTGGACTTTAACTAGGCCATGTTCAACTGTTTCATTTGCTCTGTCTGTATGGTTTTTCTTCTTCTTCCTAACTTTCTCAATTACGTCTCCTGCTGTTTTCCCTGATCTTTTTATGCTATTTATTCATAAATGTTCGATAACAAATCTTGCAGCATTCATAGAAAATTTAATTTTTATGATTTAACATCAAAATTAAATTACACACAGGAGAAGCACTTAGCAATTGCAGGCTAGCAACATCCATGGAAATCAGTTGATCCAGATTTTATTTAGGAGTATCAAAGAATAGAAAGGGCATTTCATAGCAATGAATCACTTATTAATTGGTGGTCAATATTTATATTTTCTGAGTAAAATCTATTCATTTTCAACCAACTCGATCAGCTTCAGTGTCATCCTGAAACGCTGCTATTAGCTCCAAACCTTTGAAGAAATAGCTTGACTTTTTGCTTGCTTTTGATGCATACCTTTGCTTTTAGTCAGCATTTGGATACATGTCTGGTCTTAGCAGGTCTTGTAACATGTTTGCACACCACTGTTTATTTAGTCATTTTTATGTTGTTGTTTTTTTTTTTTAAACAATGGCGGTAAAGATTTAAAGAGGATAAAGCAATTCCTTGTTTTTCTGTATTCAGCTGGAACAAGACTGATAATCCTGAACCATGGAATAACCTCGACCCCACATACCAGTACAAGGTGATCCGGATCACACACAAAACATTAGCTACTACTTAGTCCACACAAGGTACAGGGTAATTATTTTGTTGCAGCAGCAATCTTCTGTTTTCGTTTCATGTTTATGTTCTTCTTCTGCAGTTTGTGGCAATCACCACAGACTATAAAAGCCTGAAGAAGGAGGGTCCTGATTTCTGAAGCCTGCAGCTCAGAGTCAAACAGGAAAAAACGAAGATCCGGATCTGGACTCAGACTTCTTTCACTCTTTGTCTTTTCTGACATCAGCATTGCAGGTTTTGGGTGAACCCAACTTTTAAATCCAGATGTTTGTTTTTAAATAGCAGCTGATTGCCTGGTAAATGTGACAGCAAACTATTGAAACTGCTCAGCGAAAGAGCTTGTGCCTGTGTTTGTCCCATTTTACATTACGGCTTGTTTTTCATAGTCATACTTGCTTCTAATTTTCATCACTGGCAATAATTATCTCAAGAACATGGCTTTGTTTTGGAAATATTGTTTCCACTTTAATTTTCGCTGCAACAATGAAAACAGCCAGGAAAAAGAAAACATGCATTAATCTAAGTACTTTGTAGATATTCATTCTAAATGTAAATAGCATGTAAAATATGCAAAGAAAAAAATGAACCAAAACAACCCTGCCTCATTTTTCCTCTTTATTAGAGACAAAAAAGAGCAATGCCTTCCTGCTTTGCAGCAGGAGTCATTGTGAGCAAAGTGTTTGTACTTTATAACCAACACATGACTGTAAGTTCAGCTGTCACTTAATTTACCAGTGATTGCATCAGTTAAGAAAGCGTCGGGTGCTTTAACCACATTATGTTCTTTCAATAAATGAACAGCTGATTGATGGATGACGAAGTGTTTATTTTGCCGTGAGTCGTTTCCACACAGTGGGCAGGTGATTTTTGCTGTGCGCCTGGATGGAAGTGAGAGAGATACGGATCTTTTTCCACACTCAGAAGGTCTGATAGAGCCGAGCCGTCTGTTGGCAGGACAGCTGTCGCTTTGCAGGTGAATGATGCTTATTCAGTGGAGCCACCTTCAGACTGTGTGTGTGTGTGTGTGTGTGTGTGTGTGTGTGTGTGTGTGTGTGTGTGTGTGTGTGTGTGTGTGTGTGTGTGTGTGTGCGTGTGTGTGTGTGTGTGTGTGTGTGGGTGTGTGTGTGAGAGGGAGACATGTAACAGCAGCCCTGTGTCTTTGATCAGTGACAGGATTTTGAACAGTCCACCCCTGTGCGGCATCCTGACTGCAACACTGTAAACGTAACCTAAAAATACATAATAACACAAGCACACAAGAACACATACATAATGATGATAATAATAAATCCTAATGAGGGCTCAGTGTTTGACGAAACTATCGCTATTGGTGCTTCCTGAAAAAAAGTAACTTGAATGTAAGGAAAGATGATTATGTTCAAAAACCTATTTTTTTTTAAATCAAGCTTCAATTATCAGCTCTTTTGCTGTTTAATACTCACATTCAATGTCATTTCATCCTTTACTGTCAGGATTTTTGTCTGGCATGGGGTGTTTGGTTGTGTCTTTTTCCACTGAATATAATGTTTACATCTGACTGTAGACAGTCAGACGTAAACATCACTTCATCCATGTGAGCCCACTGAATATGATGGATTCAGGTTTCTTCTCAGGTGAATTGAAGGTTAAACAAAACAAAAATGCTAGAACTTAAAAGGACAGTATCATGTATTTTCCAGTCATATAGTGGCATCTTATAGTATGATCTAGCATCTATGTTGTTATAAAAGAACCAACATACTTGTCATGAAAGAAAATATTGCATATATCAAAGATGACTTAAAAGAAATTTGACCTTGTAATTGAACACCTTGAAATTGGGCTTCTGTCTCTTTGAGAAACTTTTACTGTTCCTGACTCTCCTGACAACCTTTGTTGCACTGATAAGTAGTTCCTCTGATGAGCTCAGCTCCACTAGGTGTTCGCTAATTGCTGCTGCCACTAGTCTCAAGGAGCTGAAGGGGGGAGGTGCAGGAGAGGGACGCTCTGTGGGACAGGAGCTTGACTTGGTCAGTGCAGCTGTGGGGAGGAGCTTTGTGGAAAGAGGCAGCGTTTTACAAGAGAATACGTTTAGGCACCCCTGAGCGGTTGCCACGAGAGATTCAAGAATTTCTCAAACAGGCATGAAAAAAAACATTCCAGATAGATTTTTGATGAGGGAATAACATTATCACATGACGTAAAAATAATTTAAAAGAAAAAGTTGAAATTGCATAACACCTCCAGCACTCCTCTGCCTTTAAAGGTTTAGATTAAAAGTGAAACCACCTCACATCACAACAAACACTGTTTCACTAATAGTAAGTCTAAGACCTTGAACTGAGCAAACACATGGCTTCTCTGACATTGTAAATGCATTCAAATTCTCACAAAGACAAGTTGCCAGGTCATGAGAAAAAATTCAGCGAGACGAGGCGGGTCATCATTTATTTGTGCTGTGATGCTGCTTGTGCGACGGTCAGAGTGTTTGGGGGTTTTCTGACGACACAGCTGAGAACTTGACCCGACCTCGCCGACCCTGAGTTCAGCATAAACCCCTGGAGACGATACACATTCCTCTGGCAAAAAATCTTCAGCTGGAAAAGAAAACTGGAGAACAAACAAAGAAGTGAGTTGGAGCCGTCCGACTAAGAACAAAAGTCCTTTCAGTCTTTTGCAGAATGGGTGCGCAAATATTTAGCATCAGTTCATGTTCTTGGTCAAGCTCTTTGTGTATGAAATAAAGTTCCTAATTTTATCAAAAGAGGAATAAATTTAGAACATCTTATGTGTCAGAGAGAATAAAGATCTGAGGAACAGTCGGAAACAAATGAATAAATTAGCAATTGTTGAAAGTTCAGTGAGGACAATAAAGGACTGATGTCCCATAAGACTCTCATCTTCTCATTTTTACAACAGTCTGTTTAATCTACAAATGATTGTCAGTATCATGAGTAGAAAACATAAAATAAGCATCAATGTTCTCTGTCACATAAAGTCGTGGACTATTTCTGTTCATAGCAAAGCATTTGACCTCATATTTTTTATTCTGTTTTTGCCAAATTGGGACATTTATGAAGTCGGACTGTTGGTACTTCCTGATGAACCACAAAAGGAACAAACTGAAACATAAAGGTATTTTAAACAAGCAAACAAAAATAAATTAAAAACGGTCTCTTTCGTCTTGAGAAATTTGTCTGACACCATCGCTCCTTCACCCGGAGGCTCTTTAGAGTTTGTGTTTGTTCAAATAACAGATGTCGGCTTCCCAAAAGGCTCTGAGTAAGGATCAGGTGAAGTCTGGCTGCAGTAAGGTTGTGTTTTTGTTCCTGCTCTTTTAAATTGATTTTGTTGTGTGACTTTAGTCTCATTTGTGCTTAAAGACTCAGACATAGTTTGACACATTAACTCAGTCAGCTCTGAAGTTTAAAGTTTTCATTGACCTTGCAATATGCTGCAAAGCAATCCCACAGCATGACACAACCTCCACTCTTTTTTAACGATGGATGGGACCGGTAGCATAGCATGTTGTCATAGTTATCAAGCTTACACCATTATGTCCTCACACAGTTATGACAAGGGATTCTGGGATTTGGGGAAATTGCATTTTATTTTTTAGCTTTTTTCACAACTTGTGATTAAAACAAAGCAACTCTAAACAACATTAATTTCTATTACTTTATCTGGCAAATTATTATATATGTTGTCAAATCTATATTGTAAATTTGTGGTGGACACTTCCTATACACTTTACTATATTCCCTGAACACCAGCAGGAAATGACGGCAGGAAATGCCAGCTGTTCCCTTCTTAAATTACAAACTATTATCCTCATATCTAACCCAGAAATCCACATTTACCCTTGTTTATTTTCTTTTTGCAATTACACATCATTTCCTTCAGACGTCGCTCAGTAACAAGAAAAACTGGAATTACTATGTTACTCACAAAATCAAGCCAGACAAAAACAAAAAACACAAATCATTGACACAGCCTTCTTTCCAGAAAGACAGAATCTTGCTCCTTGGAGCTGTTTCTGTTGAATCCTGTACATCTGATTTTTGGTCCAACAAAGTGTAATATAAAAGCACTGATTTCTGATTTAATTTGGTCATCAGAAAGTCTTAAGAAAACTGTTCAAAATGCAACAGTTCAGCATAAACCCCTGGTTTTCTTGCTTTTTTCATGTCTGACTTTGACCAACAATTACACTGAAATGTTTTTCTTCACGGCTGTACATCAATATTCAACGTATCATTTTGTACACCAGCCATTATTTACCGAGGCGTCAGATGAAGCCCTTTCACTAAAAAGATTGTGTTTACATTTTCATCACGAGTAGAAAACTGACCAACAATGCAGCGTGATCAAAATAAATTGGTGACATTTGTATGTTACAGTTCCACAGGAAGTCGACAGAAGGTGACGTCGCTTTGCACGTCCGCTTTTAGTATCCGCTTTTAGTGATCTGGGAATCCTGGCATGGGGAAGGGCCTGGCAAATAGCTCCACCCGATGGCGCAGCTCTGCAATGAGCTTCACTGTGTCAGGGTCCTTCAGCAGGAATGATTTGAAGCTGGCTAAGTTTCCTAATGAGAGGAAAAAAGAATCGTGTAAAAAAAAGTGACACAAGAATTGTTACGGTATTCTACAGTATGTCAGCAAGTTGGCCTTCTTGGTCTTCTCCTGAAAAACATTTCAGGAATTGAGTTCAAAAAGTAAATCTCAAAAGATTTTTTTGCTCTTAAATTAGATTATTATTTTTTCTTCGTTTACAAACCATAAAGTCTCTCGCCCACTTAATTATCACGACAAAACTCTCTCACCAGTTTTCTGCTTCGCAGTCAGAGCGATCTGAATCCCTTCATCTATGAAATCCACAACCTTCTCAAAGTCTCCCTCCTTAAACTGTCGAGAAGTCAGAGCTGGAGCTCCTTCAGCAAAAAATATTAAGATAGTAAGCAAAGTGGAGAAAAATGAGCAAAACAGCAGCAGAAAATAACCCAGTAAGCATTAGAACAAATGTACACAGACTTTTATACTAAACAGGAGATGCATTTTCTACACCCTCAGATATTACAATGAATAATCATGAGCTTGTTTACCGAGCCTGAGTCCTCCTGGAGTGAGGGCGCTCTTGTCCCCCGGACAGGTGTTTTTGTTGGCTGTGATGGACACCAGCTCTAGGACCCTCTCTGCTCGAGCTCCGTCTATCCCGCGAGGTCGAAGGTCAACCAACACCAGGTGGTTGTCGGTTCCGCCTAGGAGGAGGAGGAAGATGAGAACGAAGCAGGATCAGTGCAAGCCAAAGCTTCGTTAAATCGATTTTGACAGAACACGTCTGACTGAATAAAAGGAGCAGATTCTTCTCACTTCATCTGAACCCTTTTTTGCTGACGCTGGAAAACGCTAATGCTGCCTTTCTTAAAATTCCTTTTCAGTGACGCTTCTTATGAATTCAACAGTGAAGTGAAAGTTGACTTCAAGAAAAACAAAAACAGCAAATTAGTGGGCTGTGAATGAACAAAGGGGCCGGGTTCATGAAGTACCTGCAAAGTGCTTATGCTGTGTTATGAGAGGCATGGAAGCAGCCAGTTTTATGCTTCTTTTACACGTCTGTTAATGTGTATGAAGCATTCACCTGACACCAAAGTGTAGCCCTTCTTCAGCAGAGCGCCAGCCATGGCTTTGGCATTCAGAAGAACCTGAGCGATGTACTGTTTGAACATGGGAGTGGAAGCCTGCAGAGACATGAAATTATGCTGCATGAAAAAAGGAGAACGCGGCACTGTAATTTTTTATTCATGAGCTGCTGAAATTCTGCCGATTCTTAGG